ATCAAAAATTCCATGTCTCTTCCTCTGTGGATCGAAACTCCCCCTTCTCCACTTCAATCGAAGGATGCCTCATTGTACTCTTATTTTTCTTTTGTTTCTTTTCTTTATTTTTGTTAGTAGACTTTTTATCTTTTTAATTAACATTAAAATCAAAATCAAAAAAATATTAGGCTAGTTGTTTTTCCAACTAAATTAATTTTGCAAATAAATTAATTAATTATTTTAACATTTTTTCTTAAAATTAAAATTAAATAGACTTAGGCCTTGTTTTCTTTTATACCAAAAACAACAAAAAAATATTTCTTTTCTTTAGGATTTTTAGACGTATTTCCTATTTCATGCGTGTTTATTTAATTCCGTATTTTTTTATTACTATTATTATAGCTGCCTACCGGATGTAATAGATAAAATTATGATATTTACTGCTTTATTCCCTATTATCCTTGTATAATGTAAATCCCCTCCCTGAAGCATTGTAATAGCGTAGGACCTCTATTTTCTGCATTTTCTTTTTACTTCTTTTCATACTAACTGCTAGTAACTAGACATGTATGACTAAGACTAATAATCAAACGCTAGCAAACTTAACAAAAAACAAAAAAATAATTGAAACACAACGCACTTGCACACAAGCACCTCTAAGGTACAACCACTTTGGTTGCCTTTAAAAAACAGTCATGAGGCAGGAATGCTTTAGCAAAGACCCGTAAAATAAAAAGATCATAGTCCCCCGATGAGCCTACAGTTTCCTTCTCGGTAAATGATCTAGTCCCTAAAACAGAATTGCTAAAACATCTCCATAAATTGCCTTCGTGACTGTAACGTCCCTTCGAATGTCCCTCATACATCCAACGATAAGGCTACCTACTCATTAATAGTAGGATAGCATTGTCTAAAGGATAAGGAGGAAAATAAAAACCTTTTCGAGTACCAAAGTAGATATTTGTTTGAAGTTTGCTCAAAAATATTTTTTTGCACTTACACACAAAAACTACTTTTCAAAAACAATTTCAAAACATTTGCTTTGTTAACACTCTTGAGGACTGATACAAGAGTTAAACACAAAGCAAATCTCCACACTAAGTCTTTTCAAAACATTTTCAAACACACAAAGCACAAAAGCATTTTGAAAAATGAGCAAACCTCTAAGAGCCCGTGGAAAACCACGGATGGAAAGGGTGCTAATACCTTCCCTTTCCATAATCTACCCCCCTTACTCAGAAAACTCTCGAAAAGGTCTTTTTATGTTCTTTTCACCCTTTCCTTTGTTGGATAAAAGAAAATACGGTGGCGACTCTTGCTTACCGCACATTTGTAAATAAAAAATGCAAAAAAATCAGTATATAACAGTCGGTTCTGCCACCGTATCACACATCTCCAAATTAATTTTTAACTTGAAAGGGATGCCTCTTCAATTTTGTCTAAAAGATGGTGAAAGTAGATGTGTTCGGAGATGCATCTCTAGATGCTAGGGACATTATGGACTTTTCATAGTGATGTGAGAGAAACTATAAAGGTGGAAAGATAATTCCCCGTAAAATAAAGCCACACTGACGAACATATTGATATTTACAAAGAATATACCCTCGATCACGAGTAGTTAATATAATATGTATAATAGATATATATTTTTTATTATATATATATATATATATATATATATATATATATATATATATATATATATATATATATATATATATATATATATATATATATATATATATATATATATATATATATATATATATATATATATATATATATATATATATATATATATATATATATATATATATATATATATATATTTAAACGATATTATGATTATGCATCAGTGTATTAAAAAACCCATAAGTATGTATGTACTAACAATATTTAAAATGATGATTAGGAGGGTCAATTTTAGTACGACAATTGCCCCTATTTAATTACTCTTCGATTGAACGCTGCGAGAATATGTAGGTCTCGCACATTCGAATCGGAGCGTTATTAAATAATAGAAGACCCAAAAATTTGACCAAGATTTATAAGGATACACTGTAGAATGTTCCCCAAGAGTACAAAAAATAGGCAAAAATGATGATGTATCATCCTACTAGAGTTAAAGTAAAGAGTATATAATTGATTTAGATACGACGATGCGAATAACTCGTCAGCACTAAAAGAGATAGTAGATTTTGCACGTATTTACCGTAACCTAGGAGGTAAGTAATAAAAAATTTGAAAATTGACTTACTAATGCTTTGAGACTAACACGGTAGGCTTATAATGCATATTTTTTCTATTCATCTCAACCTAGGGGGTGAATAAAACAATGCTTGATAAAACACTGTTGCATGGAGACTAACATAATAAATTATATTGCAGACTTCATATATTTACTACAACCTAGAGAGTAAAAAATAAGAGGATGAACCTGTGCATTTATCACAACCTAGAGGATAAATGACACAAGGATAAGCTTATGTATTCACCCTGACCTAGAGGATGAACAACATAATCCTGATAATTCACATAGCTACCACAACTTAGATAATTCGTCCAGGAACTAGAATTGGATACAATTGCTTAATTAAGTATCTTGAACCAACGATGCTAGGTGGACTTTCATGGTTAGCAGTCTAATGTTCAAATCACTTCAAGATTCAAGAAGAATGTAGTGAAAATGTAGATAAGAGAATATACCTTACTTTTAGTGTGAACTGACTTATATACCTTGCATCAAATGTAAATGATTGAGCCTTAGTCATTGGGCCTTTGGAAGACCCATAACAGTTTCCCTCAAGGCTTTTCCGAACACTGAAGGAGTCAAGGAAGCCTTAAGCAACGTTGGTCGGCCTCCAAGATATTGTCTTATGGGAGTTAGAACTAAAACGCTTAGAATCATTTGAAAATATAGTGGTAAACAAGCACATTAAATGCATTTTCATCATTGAAATGTTTCACCGTATTCTCCTGAAACATGTGCTGGTGCGAAAAGTTATGGCATGATGTAGATTATAGTGCACTCTAGTGAACTTGTGTTTACGTCTATTCTTAAGGGGAAATCCAACCGTTGATCTCGAAAGTCTTATCCTTTGCTGATTTGGGTAGTTCACCAGTCTTTTCCTATAAATGAGAGGAGTTAAGTATTTTGGAAAACTTTTCGTAATCCTTGGCATTCAAGTTCGTTCGTATTCACTGTTTTAGTAAAAACCTTCACATTTTTCATTCCGGAGAGTGTTTATCATATCACTATTTATTCCTTGACCAAAGTTTCTGTGTTCATCATTTTCTCTTACTTTATCAACTCCATACCTAGGTACCCTCCTCAACTCAAGCTTTTCTTTCGGAATTTCCTATTTTCTAGTCAGAATGAGTGATAATAATGTTAACCTAGTGAGTGATTATGAGACTGAAACTTCTTCTGAAATAGGAATGAGGGTATCCCCTAATTCTCATTTTCCTCCCCTTGCTGCCAACCACTCAAACTAATAAATTATATCCCCTTGACGATTCCGGTTCAGAAAGGGTACTGAGAACTACTTGGAGGAAAGAGCTTCTTTATTAGACTCTTTTGAAGACCTTTTATTAGATGATGGTTAAAGGGAGGATCATGCTGAGGTCCCCATGACCACTCTCGTCTTGACTGAAGAAGAATTATAAACTATCAAGCAGATGAGGAAATGCGTTGACGATTTTGTTCAACTTTTTGCGGGGACAAATAAACGTGAACCTAGCGATGTTGAGGTGTAGGTCCATTTGGATTTTTTTGGGAGGTTCGAAGTAGTGTCTTGGATCAACCCTGAAGATCATTCTAAAGCTGAACTCCTATCTCGGAGAGGAATGATGCTGGTGGAGTTGGCTGTTGCGGTTAAGTATGGTTGTGTGGATGTTGAGATTGTGAGTACCCCTTCCATTTTGAATACTGAGGAGGTAATAAAGGCTTATAGAATTGTGTTCGATGACCCTCAGGATTGATCAACTCTTCTAATGGACCCAAAGAAGAGGATATGAAGTTCCTTTGACGATTGTATGATCTCACCCTATGAGTACCAGTTCACAAGTACAGGAATGCATCTGCCTTTCTCTAATTTATAAGTGGTCGTCCTCAAGCACTTAAAAGTTTCTCCTTCCTAGCTTCATCGGAGGTCTTGGGCCTACATGAGGGTATTCTAACTATGTGATGGGCATAAATTTTTGAAGCCCCCGCTTAGGTTGTTTTTCAAATTATTTTACCTGGTTCTCACTTCTCAAGACAAATACTGCGACCAAGGGATCTTTAGATTTCAAACGGAAGACCCTTGGTTTGACCACTTTGTCCAAAATGAGTGATTTTCTAGGGTGCTTCTTACTAGTGAAACCCCGTCATGCTAGAGGCCCATCTTATCTTTTGTTAATCATTTGCCCAGTCTTCTGATTCTGTAAGAGCACATTTATGAAGTATTGTACTTCATCTCATTTCTACCAGGATGCCTTTTCTACCGTACTAAACCATAACTCCTTTCCCTTGAAGAAGTGGAGATGAAAGAGGGCCTACACTCTTTGTTCCAGTGGCTTGGATATGAAGAAGGGCTTGACCCTGGTGAAGTAACTCCTACCAAGGAGAGGGGAGAAGGAAGCAAATCAATACTTACGTAATCTTGAATGCGATCAGCCGAGACGAGAGAAGATATATTTTTAATGATAACAATGTCTTTTGGTTTTCTTACATGTGTGATTTCATTTTACAGATAATATGGATAATCTTAATATTTTATTTGATCTTACCAATGTACAAGGCATAAATGCTGGATCTTCTGGGCAGGCTATGACACCTTCCCTCTAACCATTGTTCCTGCTCCGATCACTGAGACCACTCCTATTATTGCTGGTGTGGAATAACTTGTTACTGTTGCAGCCACTTTGACTTTGGAGGATGCTCCCTTGTCCCCAATTTCAATAAAAGTAGTCTGGGATGAAAAACAATCCTCCCCATAGTAAGAAGGTACTCCTAAATAGACTTGTTTTTTCTGAGGATGATGCTTCGAGGAGATTGCCCTTTTCCTGTACATGCTGCCATTTTTTTCCTCCCAGTTTGCTTACTTTCTAAGGAAGTTTCCATAATGGTATCGATGGAGGAATTATCTTACATCCAAATCCTCACTAATGTGGAGAAGATGGAGCTTGTCTTTGAGATCACCCATAACATGTATCAAGCCCCTTTTCTGTTTTCTCTAGTCGCTGCTGGTCGAGGAGACATCTTGGATGCTGTAAATCCCTACAAGGAAAAGGACACATGGAAAGGGAAGTGTGAACCTATAGAGAATATGTGCTTCACTTTTCATAAGTAGTTGGCGGAATTATAATATAAAGCCAATCTTGCCGACTCTTTGCAAGAAGGTGCAAAAACTTATGACTCTCTCAACCCTTGCTGTCGAGGTAACATAGTTGGAGGTCTCTCTTGAAGTAGAGGAAAAACAATGTCAGAAGACCCCTAATTCTGTCGATGAGATGACCCGCCAAGGAGAGGAGGATCAGAAAATCCTTCGATGGGAGGTCGGGGCCCATGGCAAGGCCCTGAAAACTCTTGAAGACAAGGTTACAAAGCTGAAGATAATGCTCCATGGTTCATTTCACTAGACTATGCAAGTCGTATATTAGGTCTGTAATCAGGTCATGGAACATGAGAGGAGGTTCGATCGTGTTGCTCAAATTCCTGTTAAAGGGTTAAATCCCTTCCATGATGCTCCCGAGGGTACTCAAGAGGGTGGTCTTGGTACACCGATTTCAGGCGCTTCGACTTGAGCTCTCCTATTCTTCTTTATTTTATTATTTTCCTCTAATGTATCCAGTTTGTAGTACCTTGGATTTAACAACTGATATTTATAAAAATAGTCTTACATCATCAGGCAAGGCTTTATTTAACTCTGAGTCTGATATTTGTCTTTCTTAACTTGTTATGCTGCATTTTTTGTTGCTTGTGAGTTTTTGTAGCGCCATAGCTTGCTTGTCCTCCATGAAATGTAAAGTTTGTTTTCCACAGAGGCATCTTCGATGTTCACCGGGGAACTATGAACCTATTTCATGGTAGTTGCGAAGGGTCGTCTGCTTTGGGTGTGAGAACCCTTATTTCTTTAGAAATAGTCTTTTTGATTTATAGCTCATCATATTGAAAGATATTTGCTGCCATGTTTGGATGTTGTGTTTGTTCGTCGTAATTAATGTTCATTGATTCAATGTGTATTTGTATGTTGTATTTAGCTTTCACTAAACCAAAGTATATATGTTTCCCCATGGTGGGGTCTAGATCTGCTGAGATGTTTATATATCTTTATGCTATGCTACACGTCACTGTTTCCAAACTAAAGGTAGGATCCATGTCCCTGCTCTCGAGGCTTTGCTCAGACCGAGGTGGAAGTCTCTAGGTTTCACCGCTTGACGCCATTGGATTGACTAGATCCGAAAGAGGGGGATGCACCAGCTTCATAAAAATTCATTTAATCTATAAGGACTTTGTAGAAATATGTGTAGTCTTTATCAGATACGCACAAATGCATGTAGTCTTTATCATCCATGCCTTTTGCATTCTAAAAGAGAGTAGACAAGAAATCATACAATAAAGGAAGAAAAGAAAATATAAATAAATATTGTATTTATATCGAAGTGAATTTGTTACAGCGAAACAAGGGAATGGCCAGATAAATAAACATTCAATCGTAGCATCCCTTCATTGTATTCAACCTTATCTTTGTCTGTCATGACACTGTTGGCTGGTCATCTTCGTTAAGGACGTAGCTTTAGTACGACTGCTTAAATCTTAGGGCCCTAGAACCATCTATGTCAGATATTGTGGCACAACGCCTTCTGAGCATTGGGAAGACAACATTCTTGCTTCCCTCTTACTTTGGTGTGAATATCCGCCCCGACCAGGAGAGACATGACTAACTGTCTTCTTATATGCGATCAAGGCTTATAGTAGAATTCCCATGGGGTCAAGGGTATGACCATATGAATGTCACATTATTTAGGAGGCCAAGGGTACGAAGCTTGGCCAACTCTTTTCGTCTGGTAATCTCTCTAAGAAATGGAGAGATCGGGCGAGGTATATGCGATCAGAGGTGTCTTTGGAGGAGACTTAATTTCCTTGCTACCAAAGTTCGGGGCACCTCCCCATGAGCGTATCCAATGATTTTTTGTTTTTTGTCTCTCGGCCATGGGGATTTGGTAGTTCGGCTATGTTTGATTGAGTGATAGTGCAAGGATAACATTACTCATGAGTTATCCTGTACATCATCTGAAGTTTATGGAAACCGCTGCACTTACTTAAATCAATTACTCTTTTAACCTAAGTGATAAGGAAAAGGTGTACCAGAGTCGACATGCTCACATAAAAACAATTTCTCAATAGAAACTCGCTTCGCTTTTTCGCGATTATGTAGTTTTAGTTGCAATATTGGCTTTATCACGATCTATTAGATATGGCCTAAGGAGATCATTTTTCATCGACTGGAGATCCTTTGGTACCTAGAGAAGGCGTTTCGGTACCAGATCTACACCATAATTAGCTATGAACTCCTCGTATCTTCGATGTCGCCATGGTAAGTATCACGATAGCGGGCGATAAAGACGATGTTGATAGGAAGATGGATCATGAATTTTCATAATGATCTTTAAGGAAATTACCTCGACTCTCTGGTAATTTTACTATAGATATGGATTGGATCTAAGATACTTTCTTCTTGTACTTAGTCGAATTCCCGAGGGAATGAGATATTTGGAAATTCGATGAATTATAGTTGAAATGATAATTGATTGGATCGAGTGCGACATATCTTCACATTCGATTCTAAATGCTCTTGATTCGGTGACCTAAGGAGGTTATGAACTAGTAAATCGGAGATTGAATATAAAATTATGGAAATCATAAAAACCAGAAGTCAATTCTCATATACGGCACCACTGTTCCATTCATGAACTAAAATTGGATGCAGTTGCTTAACTGAGTATCTTGAATCAACAATGTTGATCTCTATTATGGCAATGCGGGATGAACGTGCATGATTATCACTCCAATACCTAAGTCACTTCAAGATTCAAGACGAGCATAGTGAAAAGTGGAGATCAAAGAATATACTTTGCTCATAATTCGAGTCACCGTGTTTCCTGATTCTAGTCATGTGTCTAGAAGTAAATTCATGTGAAAATAAAAATTTCATAATTCGAGTCAAGAATTTGCGTGATTCGAATCATGCATGCATGGGTTTCTTGATTCTAATAACAAACATCTTGATTTGAATCACCTTATATTGACTTTTAGTCAAAGAGCAATTTTATTAATGCAAAAGACATTTTAACAAAAATGAATTTTTAAGAGAAGTGCAAAGAACTCGTTAGGAGAAACTTAATTACTAAAAAAATAAATATCAGACAAGCAATAAAACACCCAAAAACTCATAGATAACCTAAAAGTAATTTCACCTTGATCCAATCTTTAATGTTATTCACAAGTATGTTATGTCAATATCACATATTCCCTTTTATACACTTAAATGTATCTTTCAACACAAAAGCTTCCCACTGAACCACTTCAAATTCATGCCACAACTTTCACAAAATGGTGATAGCCAGTAGATATGGACCAGCATTTAAACATTCTAAAAAGGCTTTGGTGCTCAATTGACCTCATCAAAACTCAAAAAAACTGGACAATAATTTGAGAGCCCTCTTGAAAGAGATTTTTATACACAATACAATCACACACTACACCACCTAAGTGATCCGATGTCCAATCAAAGACACTACCTCATTTAGTCTAGTTCAAGTGAACGACGTCGAATCAAAGGCAATGCAACTCTCCATTATCTATAAAATCATTAAACCGATTCATTTCATAATTCAACACAAACGTTCTTCTGTCCTTTATTTCACCTTCTAAAGACATGAAATTGAAGTTATCACACACAAAAAAGATTTAACCAAGCTTCTAAATGAGCCCAAAGATCCTACTTACCCATTCATTTACAAGTAGCGTACACATTCATTATAAATTTGAATTCCCCCTAAGAAAAGAAACTCGCCATCAATTATTATTAACATTGTTAAATATGCTTGGATAAATTTTATATTGTTTAGGTTTTCGAGTTGTTGGATGTATAAATGTGTGAGTACAATCTCATTCTTTAAGTTAACTTTTAAGGTTGAGATCCAAAAATATTTAATATGATATCAGAATCGGATTGAGTTAAGGACTATTTAGGTTCTTTGGACTGTTAAACATATAAATATGTGAGAACAATATCATTCTTTGAACTAACTATTAGACTAACTATTAGAATTGAGATCCAAACATATTTAATATATAATGGACAATCTCACAATTTAAACCAACTTTTAAGATTGAGATTTAAACATATTTAACCTACAATATTTGTAATTTTTATATGACACTAGTTTCTTATCAAAAGAATATCTATATGTCTAGATATTGTTACCCAAATTAATTCATTCTAACAACAAACTAGTATTTGAATTTGCGTGATGCACGGAAAGATAATTCACTTATTCAAAGACTAATTAATATAAATTTCAAATGGAGTATATAATTAACTTAAATTATATTGTATTTTTGAATAATTAAATAAATCTAAAATTAATATTTTAATAGATATTAGTATGTATATGTATAATTTACCTATTTCAAATCATAAAAGATTTCTTTAAATTATATTACAAGTTTCGTTATATACATGTCATTCATCACCCATCACCACTTATAAACATCTTTGATCAAGCACACAGAGTAACGGGTGAAATAATAACATATAATTGATGATGTTAAAATATAGGATTTAGAAGATATATAGCAATATTTTAAAGAGATTATAATGTGAATGACAAAATTTGGATCAATATATCAACTATATCATTTATCGGAACGTGAATGACAAAGTTTGAAACAATATATAGGTGGTTGTTATACTTGCCATTTTATAAAAATAAAAGATCATTCTTATTCTCAAAAAATAATGGATATGTGCTATCAATAATTAAAATAATAGGGCCATATGAATTCTTGATCTACATGTCATTGAGTATTTCAATTTAATTTTTCTCATAATTATTTTTTCTAATTTTTCCATCTTCAACCTTTAAAATTCAATTTGAAAAATGTTTCACTTCATTCATATTAGAACATGAAGATGTAGACTCGAGCCTCATATATTTTGCCAATGTTAAGAATCGACAAAATTGACAAAAGTATTATAAGTTGATGTTAGCTTGTACAATTGTCTTATACCTTTTGGAATGACATAAACAATATGCTTGAAATTTTTCTTCCAAAAGAAAACTT